TGACATCTCGTTAGGCTCTTAAAGACGAGCCTTCATGGCGGGAATAAGAATCACAGGGAATTGGCTTCTATCATTAGTGTGTGAAGGAAGTGGCATAGTTGATAGCTGAACCAGGTTCATGACGATACTATGGTTTTTGGCGAATCAGAAGTGTTGCTCCAGGGTTATCTGCGACTGCCTGTCCGTCATGCATCCTGTTCAACATCTCGCGATTGTTCCCAAAAGGAAGCTTGGTATCTTCGTCATGGAGCTCAGAGAGTACCACTGCCAGATGTTGAAGAGTGCCTGATCGACGCACCCAAACACCTTAAACACATAGCAGATTATCATCACTCGGTGACCCTCATGTTCCAGTGTTGTCAAAATAATTCAGTAATTCTGGATGAAAAGCGTAGTAAATCTGCCTAGTCAATGGTGGAATGCCCACTATCTCCCTGAAACAATTACAAAATACATCGCATTGTAGATTAGAATCATTCAATTGACCATTGCAGAAGCTCTGACTCTCACTCTTATTCACATTCGAGATCGGGATTGACTGTCTGGTAAGGTAGTCATTGCGTAGCTTACTGAATCCGATGATGAGATGATACCGATATGCAACTAGGCGGGATTTGGATGCTCAACGGCAGAATTGTGCAGCTTTATGCTTGCCCAAGCTCCGATAAGCGATAAGCTCCAAGCGATGTGCTTGGCCCTCGCGAACCTGCCGCCGTGCCGCTGTGAGAATAAGACGCCTCGGCAGGCCCCTTTCATCACAAGCAGAAGGCGCAAATCAAAGGCTGTGACAGTCACAGCAATGGACAGTCTTTTGAGAAACAACACAACACATTGAAAGATGCTAAGCGGTACCTGTACGCGGCTGGCCATTGTGGCCGCCGTCTTCCTCGTCGCGGCAATCTTCCTAGTTCCCCAGCTCCCCCACGTAGGCTACAACGTGCCCACTCAGCTCGGCCACAACGCCCCAACGACAGGCGGCAAAGATGTCTCGAACGGTGCCGATGAACCGAATGGCCCCGTCGGCGATCATGCCAACGAGGTGATCACATCTCTATCTTCAATTGCTACATCGCAGAGCGTGGCAAACGCGGCCCCGAAGCCAACACCTGCTCCCGCCACAGGCGCGAAACCCGATACTACGAAGACGGTCTCAAAGCTCGAAGCTGGTCAGTCGCTGTCGCCGTTCCGTCTCGCCTCACCAAATGGTCGCTACGAACTCAGCCTCCTCGACAGCGGTTCCCTTTCGCTCCTCGACACCAAAACAGAGATCGAGTTGTTCACGTCCGATACCGAGTACCACTGGCCCGTATCATGGCAGGTCGAGCTCACCCAGGAGGGCGTGCTGATGCTCTCGTGGGCAAACGAGACTGCTGCTCCGTACGGCGCAACGCCATGGATCTCGAATCTCCTACCCGAATGCGCTTCTGTTGAGAGTGGCGACGAGAAACCGGTCCTGGAGCTTTTGGACTCTGGAAAGCTGCATATTCGCGCTGGGAGCAAAACGACCTGCCTCCTCCACCGCGCCACAGATGATATGGGACGTCTCGCGATCGTGTACACCGGCTTTTTGCGCACCTATTTGAAGACTTGCAAGGAGCAGAATAATAAGCTCGTCAAGACGTGGACTGGGAGCGGCGGTGTCGATGTACACGTGTTTACGTACCTGGAAGATGTCAACCACGATTCCGGTGACCCGGTGGACAAGGACAGCATAACCAAGCACCTGAGGTCGTGCTTTGGAGACGCGCTCAAGACTGTGGAGATTCTGAAATTGGACAGTGTGAAGGAGAACGCCGTGGATCCTCCCGAGGTGCTGGTGAAGGAGTGCGGCAACGATAAACTCAACCACCAGCTCAGTCAGTGGAAGGCACTATACCTCGCCAGCCTGCAGGTACAGAGCTACATGATCAAAGAGGGCATATCCTACGATTACATCTACAAAGGCCGTCTCGATCTGCTATACTGGGGCGACTCGCCTGCCCTCTCGTCGCTCAAGGTACCCGAAAACGGTATCCTGGCACCTCGCGTCACTCTGGACTGGACGTGGTACGCCATGCTCCACGACGGCGAGCTGCGCGCGGGCGTTACAGACATCACCGCCTTTGGGCGCCCCAATGCCATGTTTACCTACCTCGCGCTCTACCGCGAGTTTATCCACATGCGGACTCTGGAGAAGGAGACGGCGAAGTGGAAGGGATTCAATACCAAGACCAGGGAGAAGAAGCCAGAGGGTCAGGAGGGATGCACGCCTGAAGGTATACTGGCGTACTGGCTGCGGATCAACGGCATCGCTGTGAAGACCGATTGGCAGTTCAAGATGGGTTTATTGCGCGGAGACGGGAAGGTCATCTTCACTTGCCCTGAGGGCAGAGGTTGGCTGTGCCCTGGTTTCATTCCGCAGGTTCACGACGATGGAACCCTGTTTTGAGTAGTCGTTGTACGATACGAATAATGATATTGTTATATGTGAGATCACGGGTATAAGGCATTTGCTTGCCCAATTACTTTTTATGCTTAATGGAAGTGCTCCGGAAATAGGCGGCGGCAGTGTCGGGCGTCTTTAGTCTTGCTATTCGCTACCCAGGATATCAAAGGGATTTGAAGACAATCTCTTCTCAGGCCTCATACGAGGTTCTGCATCGGCTGTCTTCTTGCGTTTCTTTTTCTGGCTCTTGGCTTCTTTTGATGGCAAGACCAGATCGTGTGAGATACCCAGCGCTGCGGCGACCTTGCCAAGCGCACCGCTAGTCTTCATACCCGCGAGAAGGCGCATTGTCCCATCGACGGATGGATATTCAGTGAGGGATGGCAACGTGGACAACAACTCTCGCAGTTGCTTCGAGCCTTGGATCGGGTCCTTGGCTCCGACCTCGTACATGAGATCCAGGACCTGAGCCAAGATGCGGAGGGAGTATAGCGTCGCGTGGATCTGCGCCGATAAGTGCACGACATCCCACGGAACGAGGTTCGAGTCTGCCGACACCGATTGGGCAAGCTTGATGGAGTTCAGACACGCATCCAGCTTGTCTTCTTCCTGCGCGTGAGCTAGAAGAAGCTGCAGGCTCACTGCCTGCCAGGGCGAGCCCTTTTGGGTAAGGCTACTTTTTGCCTTGGCCAAGGTCTTCAGGAGGGCATCCATCGAGTCCTTGATCCAGGGCCGGGGCAGCATCGCCATATACTTGCCTTGGTTCACGCCAGACGACATTCTCCGGTACTCCCTCACATGGGAGACGCCCCCGGGACGAAGGAGACATGTGAGGCTATACGCTAGCTGTCGTACAGTGGCGCTGTTATCCCACGCGCTGGCGCGGGCTGGACAGTCCAGAAGTGGCGGGAGACACATCATGCAGCCTGCAGCGCCGGAGTCGCCCGCGGGCGGTTTCGCTACCCCGGAGTAGCCTACGCACTGCAGGACGACCTCGGATAGCCTCGCGTCGAGATAGGGTTTGTCGAGGCTGCCCAGGATCGGGACGGCGCTCCAGTCTGTAGTCTCCAGGGTCTCGTACGGTGCGCAGAAGGCTTGGAACTCTTCCGGATCTGCGACGTCGCCTTTGCAGTTTTCGAGGACTTGTGCGAATTTGGGCCGGGTGGATTTGGAGAGCTCGTAGGCGAACCTGCGCATGCCGTGGTCCTCTGGTAGCTGTAGACGTTTGGCGATCTCCGAGGGCGAGAATTTGGGCCCCAGGAGAGCGGGTTTGTCGTCGTCGGTTGTGCCGATGTGGAGGTCTCTGAAGAAGGCGACAGATCCCGTCTTTAGATCGTGGACGGTCAGATCAGAGTCTGATGTTAATATGGTTCCTCCGTTTCGTAGGACGTCTTCTGCGCAGTAGGCGTCTGCTTCGCCGGGTACCAAGCGGACGAGAGAGGCATACTTTTCGATCGACTCCAGCTTGTCGACGATGGCTGCGACGAGAAATGCCGGTGGTGGAATCAGGGGCTGGTCTCGTTTGGGGGCATCGGTTGGGAAAAGAGGTGGCAGTGAGAGACGCGTTGACGCAATTTGCTTGGCTGGGCAGCCGTTGGGGAAACCTGAGCGGAAGATCTTAAGGGACGAGGATACCTTGAGTATCCTTTCGAGGCGGACTTCTGCTTTTGATGCCGGGAGGAAGCCATCAAAGTAGATGGCGGCGCTTTGAACGTTAGTGTAGGTCTTTTCACATCTTGGAAGAAAGATTTACATTGATATCTCATGACTGGTAACTTCTTCTAACCATCCTATCGCGGTTCTTCCGAGGATATCGTAGGATGGCAGACCAGAAGTACTTCTTGTACAGAGATGGTAGATGTGGTATGCCAAAGCAGGGCCATCAATGACAACTCTGTCGCCGTCGATAGGCCCAAATACCCCATAAGGGGAGAGATGATTTAATAGATGAGGAATTCCCATGATTGTATAATGATTCTACCTTACAGACTAACATTAGAACTAAAACATGTACGAAGATTGGCTCACTCAGGGTCTCAAGATTAAGCAGCCAGTCCATTGCAAAATCTCTTCCACTGACCTAATCTTCTGGATTACTTCTCATGTGCTGCTTCCCCAATTGATAATGCGTGTTAGAATTCGATCGAATCCTTCGACTACAGCCTCCGAAACTCCACCAAGAGATCCCGTTGTGAGAAATCCATTGAAGGTTGAGACATGGATTTGAAGTATCTTAAGATATCTGCCTGGATACTTGCCATGGTAGGTAATGGAAGGAACGACCTGAGCTCCTGCAGAAACTCATCGCGGGGTCACGGTGCGTGGAACACGGTACGTACAGTCCCCACCAACCTTAGGAAGGGGCGGCGGCCCTGTTATGGATGGGTTGGAAAGGGTATCTCCGGTCCGGATAAATACAGTGTGATCGGAGCTCCTTTCCGCCCATTCCACGTGCCTGCACTGTCCGTTCGACCCCACCGCGGCGCCTGGCTCCATGCCCGCCCGTTTTTCGGCTGAACAGCCCCCTTGTCCCCAACTCAATTTTTCCTTCGCAGTAATAAAAGCTCCCCACCTCGCGAACCAAATCTTTTCGCCTTTCGCATTCTTCTTTTCAACATGCGCGGCACTCTCATCTTCGCGGGCTCCTCCTGCCCAGTCCTCACTAATCAGATATGTGAGAACCTGGGCATGGCTCCTGCCCAGGCGGAGCTTACCCAATTTTCCAATGTAAGCTGAAAGTGCGCATCGCTGGGCCGTCGACCACCAAGGGCGGGGGAAACGCCGCGTTCCTGCTCACGAACTCTCCATGATGGAAATCATGGGGGAGACAGCAGTCGCGGCCGCTCCCACTGCCTTGATTGGACCAATTCCAACTTTGTTTGGATTCCCTGTTGAGGCTGACCCGTCACACAAAAGGGCGAGACGAGCGTGCGAATCTTGACCAGCGTCCGCGAAAAGGATGTCTTTGTCGTACAGTCCGGCAGCGCCAAGGTCAACGACACCATCATGGAGTTGTTGATCATGATCTCGGCCTGCAATGGCGGCTCAGCAAACAAGATCACTGGTAAGTCAAGCACTCCCTCTCACGATGGTCTTATGGTGCTAACGCAATCGCTCCTCAGCTGTGCTTCCGTACTTCCCCTACAGTCGCCAGTCGAAGAAGAAGTCCCACCGGGGTGCTATCACAGCAAGAATGCTTGCCAACCTCCTCGGCGTGGCCGGCGTTAAGCACGTCATCACCGTCGACCTGCACGCTTCCCAGATGCAGGGCTTCTTTAAGTGCCCGGTTGACAACCTGCACGCCGAACCCCTCATCGCGAGATGGATCCGGCACAACGTGCCCAATTGGAAGGAGGCTGTTGTTGTGTCCAAGAATGCGGGCGGAACCAAGCGTGTAACATCGCTTGCGGACGCGTTGAAGCTCAACTTTGGCATGGTCACAACAGAGAAGAACCGGAAGGGAACGAACATGACATCGAGCATGATCATGCACCACCTGGACAATCTCGATCGGGAACCCGTGTTGGAGACGACGCGTGAGCCACCCAGACCTTCCACACCTCCCGCTGCACCTGGTCGGGCTGCCAGGATTAGAACCGACGCACACGGTTCCCCTCAGTTCACCAGCGCTCCGCGATCTCACCCTCGGTCAATGGACGACCGGCCTACGACACCCACGCAGTCCAAGCCTGGCGACGGGTCGGTTGACGATGACGAGGAGGAGGGCGACGCGCAGTACGATGATCGTCGCGCCCATGAGGTTACGCACGGCCGACTGGTTCAGGGTCACATAGTGGACGACGACTATCCATCGCCGGCTGCATCAACCGTCAGCGGCAGCGTCCAGGGCGACGACCCCATGACGATGTCGCACGCATCGTCGTTCTTTGCCCCTGAGCCCCATGCCCTGGGAGGTTCCGGAGACGCGGCCCCAGAGTCGGACGAAGAGGACGAGGTCCTGAAGGATCCCAAGGTCGAGCACATGATCACGCTGGTCGGCGATGTCAAGAACAGAACCGTCTTCATCGTTGATGACATGATTGACAAGCCCAACTCATGGATCGCCGCTGCCGAGACAGTCGTCAAGAAGGGCCGCGCGAAGAAGGTCTACTGCATGGCCACCCACGGCGTGTTCGGCGGCGACAGCCTCGACCAGCTTCAGGCGTGCGAGTGCATCGATACCATTCTCGTGACCAACAGTTTCCCCATCCCCGAGGATCAGGCCAAGCGGTGCCCCAAGCTTGTGGTCCTGGATCTCTCCTTCCTCCTTGCTGAGGCGATTCGCCGTAACCACTACGGCGAATCAATCTCCCCTCTGTACCAACACATTCTGGACTAAAAAGATTTTCCGGCGAGAGAGCGTGCAAGGATTGTCTCGGTTACAGTTCGCCTGACACGGCTTCTTTTTCTGCTTTTCCCTATCTTGGACTGGCTCAAGGATTCTCTTCTTTTCTTTTTGAGTTCCAGTATGTGTGCGGCATACTCGGGGGAGAAAGGCATTTCAGCGCGGCGTTCTGGGCTACAACGGCAAAGAGTGGAATGGCCAAAAGATGGTGGCAACCAAAAAAATACGCGTTCCTAAGGAGACTTTGGTAGGTCTTGAACATCAACACAAAGCATGGTCAGTATTAGACATGAATGATGAAACTTTGATACCTTTTTTTCAACCGGGCCGCCATCTAGTATGGCGTGTGCGCGTGTTCCTCAACTGATACACCTTTTTTTTTACCTTTACCTGATGGAAGACTGGGCTGCATCCATTGCATCACCCTTTCTTACCTTTCACACACCAACGATGCTGTTTTCTGAACAGCCGGGGCCCAGTTCATCCCAGAACAGGCCTTGAACGGAGCGTTGGCAGATTAAATTTTCGACTCAAAGAAGATCCCTCTTCCGGTCGTCTTCATGACGGCCACAGCCTCCGGGACTGGTGGGAGAGGGATAAGAGAAACCTTCGAACATCTCTTCAAGTGATGTATATGTGGATGATGATTCTAGCGTGATCATAGTCGGGTGTATCCACCGACTTTGTTCTTTTAGATTCCTCTTTTGATAATAATACAATTCAACTTTCAAACTTTTTTTTGCCTTTTTACGTCGTGACATCGTCCCTGCAGTACACATGTACCGCATACCCCTAGTCCTCCGTGACGCCCCTATCCGGGATTTCATAAACAACGTCGGCTTCGTCCACAAATCTCAAAGTAAACACAGCAATGTCCCCTTCCTACTCGAACAGCTCCCACCCGTGAATCTCGTCCAACAATTGCAAATACGTGCTCTTCTCGCCTTCCTCCTTGACGGCCGCCACATCCTGAAGCAGCTCCTCGCCGAAATTACCCGCGCCTGCGGCCTTGATGATGCGCCATGCACGGCGGAATTCGTCGCGGATGGCGACGATGCCGTTGTGCGTGACTGTGCGGGCGACGTTGTGGTCTAGCTCAAAGGGGTCTTCGATGGCGAAGAGGTAGCGGTGCCGGACTTCCTTGACTTCGCCGTTCTTCTGCGCCGCTGCCGACGCTGCTGCGCTGCTGTCGGTGGTGGAGGTGATGGTGCCGCTGGTGGTTGTCATCGTCGTTGGGGTGGGCGGGTCGATGGGGGATTTGAGCGTCATGTGTTGTCCCTGCAGTCCGGGGGGAGGACCATCGGTGCTCGGGGAGTTGACGGCGGTGGCGTTGTTGTTGGCGTTGGGACGGTACTCGATGACAGTCTTGGCGCCCGTCCAGCCCTTTTCCGTCTTGGAGAGCAGACCGCCCGGCGAACGGATGCTGAGGACGTCGCGGCCCCAGTCGTAGCCTCGGCCCGGGTAGGTGCTCATGGAGCCGTTTTGGGCGTAGTACTCGAAGAAGCCGCGGAGGAGCTGGCCTACCGAGTCGCGGTTTCCGTTGAGCTGGTTCATCTGCGCGAGGCGGAGGATCTCGGCCTCGTCGCGCCAGAAGCCGACGAAGCGGCCGCGGCAGATGATGTTCTCGTCGTGCAGCGCCGGGGAGTTGGGAGGGAGGCCTTCGCGGGGAGGAGGTGGGGGGCCGAGGGCTTGGAGGTTGGGGCAGACGAAGGGCTGGACTACGTTGACGAGGTAGTGCAGCATCATGAGGACGTAGCCGTAGCTGCTGAGGGTGCCGCGGTACGGGGTGTTTACGCCGCGGACCTTGGCCCAGTGCTTCACGAAGAGGACGAGCGGGCGGACGCGGGGGTCGGTGTGGGAGTAGCAGCGGAGGAGGAGGGTGTTGTGCAGCGCGAGGTGGGCGGCGAAGTTGATGTCGCACTGGACGCCGACGCCGTTCTTTGGGAACTCGAGCTTGTCGCGGTAGGGGTCGCGGGGTTGGTTGATGGCCATCTTGGCCGGGTCCTTGAGGTCGCGCATGCGCTTGATGGTCTCCATGTTTTGCTTGGTGACGGGGATGACGAAGTCGTACTGGGGGTCTTGGACGTTGCTCTTCCGCATGGGACCGCGGAGAATCGAGATGTATTCTCTCACGTCGTTCTCGATGCTCGGATCGTACAGGTGTTGGTCGACTGCCTTTTCGAGTTCGAGGGCAAGTTGGAGACTCTTGTGGCGGCGCGCGACGGTGAGGAGGCTGAGTGGTCCGTTGGTGGTGGTGTCGATGAATTCCTGCACGCTCTTGCGCGTGGTGCTCGGCCAGATGCCGGCCGTGTATCTGTCGATGATGAGCTGTTTCGCGGCCGCAGCGTCAGGATCGCCCCGGGGGCGGAGGTTCGCGAGGATCTTGAGTGTCCTCGCGTGGTATCCGGAAGCTGCTTCAAACTGGCTCTGTTCGAGAGTGAGCAGTTGCGCAATGGGGAGCTTTTTGAGCTTCTCCAGGTGCAGCTGCAGATGCTTGCTGTACGTCAGGGGCTCGATGCCAAAGTGCTGCTGGTTCTGGAGATTCTTCCAAGACACGATCAAATTCCGAGTTGCATCGTCGGTGTCGTCTATGCTTCCGATCTCAGCCTCTCTTTCGCACAACATGACGATCCTCTCGCCTTCCATCTGGGCATACACGCCAGCCAGCGACCGATAATTGGGGACATTGGGGATCGTCTTAAAAGAAAGAGACAGGTAATTTGAGAGTCTGCTTCTCAGCGGCACGTCGCGAATGCCTTTCAAGAACGCTTCGCAAACCTTGTTGAGCAAGTCGTAGTCCTCCTCTACTAGCTCGCGACAGTTGGAGAGAGTGACATCCCGACCTCCCAATCGTCTCAAAGTCCGCTTCGCTACATTATAGTAGGCAGAGAGAGACTGATTCTCGGGCTGGTAGATGGCCGGCACTCTGGGCTCGCTCGAATCGGGGCCTGCAGGAGACAACTCGTCCGTCTTTGGGTTGTTTGGGTCGTCGATCGTTTCGTCCGTGATTTCTTTGGTGTGAGTATCAACCGTCTCGTCATCATCTGCAGCATCCGCATGGTCGGTATCCACGATGCCCTTTTCCCATTTTTCACGCTCTTCCAAGAGGTCCTTGAGCAGCTTTGCGGGCGGGTTCTGACAAAGCTTGATGATTGGTACTCTCGTGCGGGTCAGCAGACGCGCGCCGAGGCCGATTTCGAGAAAAGCCTTCTCGATAAGTCTGGGTATCGCAGAGCCCGACTCATCCGGTTGAGGGGTAGAAAGGGGTGAGACCAGACCGAGATCCATGTCTGAGGCTTTCGTTGCGAACCCAGAAGACAGACTGCCGAAGCACTTGAGTTGCACAGACGGCGGGGGAAAGTTCTCTAGACCATTTTGTGTCGCCTCATACTCGGCAACTGCGGCCTGGCAAACTTGTTCGATCTTAACTCGAAAGGCTTCCTTCTCGGCAATCTCTCCTCTTTCAATCTCTGCGCCAGCAACGAGAGTGTTGCAGAGGCTTTCTAGGTAGGAGGCCTGGTTCTCCAACTCTTCGGGCCGGACTGGGTGGTGTTGACCACGGGGGCTGTAAAGCTGGCCATGATTGTTCCGTGGAAAACGCGGTGACCCGTGCTCTTGCTGACCACTTGGGTGCTGGTCATGCTGGTATCGGTCAGAGTTGGCGAGGTTTCGATGTCCGTTCTGTCTGGGTGAGCGAGGCGACATGCCGCCTGCAAGGTGATGCGGCCTGTGATGCAGGTCTGGGTTATGATACGTCTTGCCTGGTCGCCCATGAGAGGGGAATCTAGGATTCTCGTGAGGGTAAGAAGGAGAAGGCCAGCCTGCGTAGGGTCGTCCAACCTCGGTGGGCGGAGAGGGGCGAGTGTCAATGGGAATGGACAACTGAGCATTCATCTGTCGTCTCTGCGCCTGGTTGAGTCGCTTTCTGCCCACCTTGGGCGAGGGTGGTGGCTTGCCATTGACTCCGGCTGAAGCTCCGGGAAGGTCTCCATGGGGTTGAAGATGATCGTTCGGTCCATTCGCCGGGGTTCCACCACCGGGAAAGTGCGCGGTTGTTCGCAGGGCATCTTGAACTTGAGGCTGGCCGGTGGCTGGCGTACCGTTGGTGAGAATCATGTTTCGCAACTGATCCTCGAGCCCATTGTTCTGAGAGCCACCAAACTGGCCCACGCCGGAATTCCTGGTGCTATTATTCATGGCGATTGTTGCTTGAAGGTTTTATCATCGAATTTGATGAGTTGGACACAGCTGAAGGGAGAGTAAGGCTTCTATGAGAATTGATGAGATGGGTGCACTGAAAATAGGCGCAGACCACTTACCTGGTCAGACACGTCCGGGACGCATTGCTTGGACAGTTGGATGCAGAGGATTGGGGATTTGGAGGATAGATACGGAGGTGAGTAAGAGTGTTGTGATTGGGAAGCTTGTATTCAGTTTCCGATTGGCGATCACCTCATTCATGTAGGTAGGTTGGTGTAAATGGAACTTCAAGTGAGGTGGAAGCTTTACGTGGGGAAGCAGGTACATTCCGGAGTGAGGGGCTACAGTCTCAGGCTTGCGACGCACTGTACATCAATCTGTACATGCAGTTGGTCTCTCACTGTACAGATACTGACCACTGCGGACTGTGAGGTAAGGTACCGCAAGTACCTCTATGTGGATAGCTAAAACCAAGATTTGTGGAATGAATTGGATGCCTACTATTTATCTCACATATTTCATGGCCTTCCACGGTCTCGTGAAGTCATTGACTGGATTCTCCTATTCACCCCTTTACAGCACAAAACGGCAAACTCCCCTATCTTGGATGCCGTGATGTCTAGATTCGTAACTATTGTCTGGGTTGGTGCAAATATATGGGCCAGTCAAAGGCGCGCATTTTGATAACGGTTGACGTTGTCGAGGCTGAACATCCTATTAATAGTCAATAGATATAAGGCATTGATGTCGTGCTTCGAGCCAGGGGCACTCTGCACGCACGTAAGATTAACTTCTTGAAGTAAGGTATAGGTAGTTGAAGGAAAGCTAGGTATTTTATTCATTGCGACGTCTGTCCTTGCTACTGAAGCTACGGTACCTACTAGGTGAGGTACGGCAAGTTAAGAACAGTAAAGCCATCTCAATGACGTCCTACCTCAGTGAGGCTCGCCCTTTCCAGATGCGGTTCCACAGCCACTGGCGAATTGTGAGGCACTGAGGATGGCCCACCCAGAAAGAGTACTTAGCACGCCGGGCTTACTTTTGGTTGATTTGTTGGCTACAAATGTACCGCCCACCAAGCTTTTGCCCGCAAACTACAATCAAGCCTGTACCGCAGGTACCTTACCTTAGCACGGTCTCCGCCCAGCTTTTCTGCAAGCTCTCCAAGCTGCCTAGGCAGGTGCGCCTGATTTCTGAGCGCGCCTTCCAATCGTCCTCTCCCGCATGCACCTCATCGTCCAGGCATGCTCTTTGTCATCACCTCGACCTCTTCCCCTTCGCCAATTCATCCGTACTTATCAATTCGCGAGTACATAACCGCTGATTGAGCTAGTCCTCGAGACTGTCTGGCGAACATTGATATCCAACCTTCTGTCGCATCACCGAGTCTACCGTCACCAGCTATTCTCTCTTGCGCCGCGGCCCCAGACATCTGGCCGAGCCTCATTCCTGCCTACGATTCTGACTTGCGCTTGACAGAGACTGCTTGACGACGGAGAAACAAAGCGTCGCTCTTTATAATCTTCCCGAGACCACAGCCTGCAGGAAGCGCTCTCGACTCTCGCGCGCCCGCTGACAGCATGAGCGCGCCGCCACCAGGTCTGCCCAACGGCCAGAACCCGAATGGCCTACCAGGACAGCCTGGACAGCCTCGCCCCCCTCCGATCAAGCGACGACCCAAAGGTGATCCCCTTGTTGCCCGCAAGCGACCTGGAGCTCCACGACCGGCTGCCTCGCGTCCCCCTCCAGGCTCGCTGCAAACCGCCTCAGGAGCCCGACCAGCTGCCGGTGGAACAGGTCACCACGGCCTTCAGCGACCCGAGACCGAGGAAGATATCAGAGCGAAGAGAGCGGCAAACGGTGGCTGGCTCGATCCCGCGCCCCAGAATGTCAGGGAATTCAAGATCGTAACGACCAAGAAGGCGTTGAAAGATGGTGTCAGACATCACGTTATGAAACTCTCTTCCGCCAAGGCCGAGCTCGAAAGGAACGGCATTGATCCTACAAACCAAGATGAATTCACCCGACCTGTCACGCTTCAACGTCGCGATCCACGACAACCGCCTCCCGGACGCGAAGTCAAGCACGAAGAGCCCGAGCCACAACCAGTTGATGAAAAGGAAGCCGAGCGTTTGGCACAACTCAAGGCCGAACGTGAGGCTGTTCGAGCTGTGGAACTCGCCAAGAGTGCACCCAGTCTGAAAGATCCTAGTCTTGATAAGAAGCCCAAGCCCAAGGAGAAGGAAAAGGATGTCCAGTTCCACCGCCAGCCTCGGTCGGAGAAAGAGAAGAAGCAACAGGGCCTGCGATACGAGGAGGCGCTCCCTTGGCACCTGGAGGACGCAGATGGCAAGAACGTCTGGGTCGGATCATACGTCGCGCCTCTGTCCGAGACCACCGTCTGCTTTGTTGCTACTAGAGATGGCAAATTCGCGGCGATACCTCTGGAAAAGTGGTACAAATTTACTGCGAAGCCCCATTTCAATACCATGAGGCTTGAAGAAGCAGAGGCTTTGATGAGTAAGAAGACAGACATCGGCCGATGGTACATGCGTGACAAGCAAAAGAAGAGCGAGCAAGAAGAATGGGAGGCGACCAGACATGCCCTGTACGGTCCTGCGAGAATCAAGACAGAAAGTAGCACCTTCAGAGCTGCTTCTCGGGAAGAAAAGCAAGACCATGACGAGATTGACATGGAAGGCGATGAGTTCCAGGACGATGACGAGAATCCCGGCTTGGACGTGGACAATGACGAGGATACCAAGGAGGCTACTGATCGTATTCGCCGAGATCAAATGGGCGCTAATCTTTTTGGCGAGGCCGATGAGCGCAGAGTAGAGAAGGAGTTGAACGAAATGAGGAAAGCCGAGGAGGAGCGCCGCAAAGAGGGAAAGCGAACCACCAAGGCACTCATCAAGAGAGAAAAGGAGACTATCTACCAGTCGGATTCGAGTGGCTACGATCCTTTCGAGTCTTCATCGGTAAGATGCTCAGAGAAGCTGTCGGTTTATTTATTTATTTTTCACTAATCACATGCACAGAGCGACGATGATTCCGACGAGGAAAAGAAGAAGGAAGAAGAGAAGGACAAGGACAAAGATGAAGAGAACAAGGACAAGGACGGAGACTCCAAGGATAAGACTGCGTCGGGCGTTTCTTCCAAGGGTAACACTACCCCGTCTGGCCGACCGAAACATACCGATGCTCTTAAGAAGGGCAAGTCTCTGAAGCGTCCCGGCTCTCCCAACTTGTCGGAATCTAGTGGCAACGAGTCCTCTCGGAAGAAGCTGAAGAAGCATGCCGCGGCGTCTGTCCATCAGAGCCGTTCGTCTACGCCTTCGGGAGGCCTGAAGAGCCACCTCAAGGGTGCCATGAGCGACGGCGAGGCAACAGGAGGCGAGATGTCAGACGGCCAGTTGAGAAAGAAGAAGATCAAGCTCGTTGGCAGCGGAGCAAGAGGCACGCCAGTCGGTTCGAGGGCCGGTAGTCCTGTCCCCGCAGCATCCGGTAAGCACATAGACCGCGCTCCTCATTGTTTAGAGTGCATGCTAACGCGGTTTATAGGCTCCAAGCCCGGTTCACCAGTTCCCGAGGGATCGCCTGCTCCCCGTGGTCCCATTCAGGCTCACGAGATTGTTGACGCCCTTCCTGAGCTCCCTGGCGGTATCAGCATTGGTAACCTGATGAGAAGATTCCAGGGACGCATCGGCGATGGCCCTGGCCAGATGGATCGCAAGGAATGGATCAAGCTTGTCAAGGAGAACTGTGCCTACGGATCCGACAAGATTCTTCGTCGCAGACCTTAGGCGGGAAAGCCAATATTGTAGATTCTGCTAGCGATTGATCCATCATTAGGATGGAATTCGTCGGCGAAGAGTCCCACGCCGACGTGTCACCCATAAATGAGTAACTTGGATTATCTCACAAGAGTTGTATGAGTGAAGTGAGCACAGCTTGTTTTTGAGGAGGGCGTATATGGCTCGGGTGAGACTAGTCATCTTTGAAGATTTTCAATGAGAGTCGCAAACGCGAACCAGATATTCAAAGAGGAGAGGACCACCGAACAAACACATCTCCAGCCAATGGTAGAAGAGAGACGTCAAATCAGCAGGGCACCTTTCAAGACAACATGTGACCATGCTCTTCGAGTGTATTTTACGCTATGAAGTCAATTTGGTGCTCCATTCATAAAATATGTTTCATTCTCATTCGAACTTCAAAATGATACAGGCTCAGATTTGAACCATCACTTTGATTGTGACTGAAACGCAAATATCATGGGATATCCAATGCTTGAATCCTTCACATTCCGGTGCCTTGACCGAACTACATGTCAACATCCTAGCGCGATCATTCGTCCATCTGCCAGGCGTAGTCGAGCCCCTTATTCCGCTCCCTGCGATTAATCGCCCTGAACCGCTCCCCTTCGAACCCGTTACTCCTATCGACGCCATCCCACCTATACCCCGGCTTGATGCCATACCGATTCGGCGGCGCAGCACCAGCATACACCGGCCGCCTCTTCCCCTTTTTGCCCTTTGCCCCTGTACCACCACCGCCACCCGTCTTGTCGCTCAAAAACTGCGCCATGGGATCATTCCACCGCTCCTGCTCCTTGAGCTCGTTATTCATCTCCTCGTCGTCCGCCGTCCGCGCAAACGTCATGAGCTTGGCGTCCTCAAGCGCCTCCCTGCGCTTCCGCGCGTTCTCGAGCTGTACGTCGCCCTTGGGCGCCAACCTTGCCTGCCGTTCCTTTTCCTCGGCCTCGAGCGCCAGCTTGCGCGCCTCCGCGCGCTTCATGGAGACGTCGACGCGGCGGCCCGTGGCGTCGCGGTAGACCGTCTCCTCTTCCTTGCCGTGTTTTCGGAGTTTCGCAAACTCGGCTTCTTCGGCTTGCTGACGGCGGCGGAGCTGTGCTGAGACGGCGGCGGCGGATTGCAGGCCTGCGTGTGTGCCGTCGCTCATTTTGACGACGTTGGCGTTGGTGGCTTCGTCGTCGCCTCCTTCTATGACGGGCATCTCGTCGTCTGCATTTCCTGCTGCTGCATTTTCTGCTGCTGTCGAGGCGAGGATCGCGTCTGCTGCTGCGGCGCTGTCGTCGTCTCCATTGTTGCCCGCGCCGGCACCGCCTTGTGATTTCGAGGATGCGGCGACCGTCTTCCAATTTGATTTCTTCGTCTTCCTGAACTCTGCCGATGTCCCTGATACGAGGGCTGGTCCTGATTCTGCGTCGTCGTCTTGTGCGGTGGAGTTGCCCCAGCCGTTGTCGTCGTCGTCTGCGATGATGAGGCCTTGGGTCTCGGTGGGTTGTTTGCGCTTGCGCTTCTTGGTGGGTTTCGGATCTGCTACTAAGTAGTTTTTTGCGAGATATGATGAGAGGTCAGAAGGCATTTTCGGATATGGCCTGTGCAGGCACGAGAAGGTTAGAGATGGGGTTGGTTTGGGTTGGTTTTGGTGGTAATGAGAAGAGCTACCTTATAATACTTCAAGATGTCACAGGTAAGCTAAGACTGAGGTATCGACGTCGTTGCACATCAAAAAAAAGGTGCACGGACCTTGATGGACCAGAACCAGAAAAGCAGGGGCCGCGGACCGACAAGGGTCCCCCCACTCTCCCTCGTCCCTTCCACGAATGGACGTGCATGTGACGGGGCGCTAGTTACTTATCGGAGGGTAGAGTGGTCTCTCTCTCGCGCGAACCTGACAATGACGGCTTCTGGCTTGTAATTAGGCCAGCTGCAGCGTACAGTACAACTGTGGCATCGTCGCGGAGCCAGTCTTTGTACGCCATCTTTTTCTCTCCTGCTTCACACTTTCCATGTTTGCTGACCTCTTCTCAAAAGTTCTAGACTGCGCCGAACACTCGTTCATTTCTGCGATCCACCGCCGAGCCCCCTACTAATTACGACGCCAAAAGCCATCCGGCGGAGTTACGAATGCTCCAACACCACCGAACGTCCGATACATAAGCCACTGGCTTCTACTCATCTGACAGGATCAAGGCACAGGGTATCGGTCTTTTCCGACTGATACGCCTTACGCAGCCTTGATCATGCAGTCCCCGGACAATGAGGCCTCGCCAATCGAGTCGCTCCCCGCCATGCCCATGGCCGCCTCGACTGGAAGACCGCCCAAGAGGCAGTCTGTTCCCGAAGGCCACCCGCTGGCACAATCCGAGGTCACGTTACCATACCGAAGATCCAACCCCTCTGTCGCGCCGCTCTTCGCTTCCACTCTGACGCCTCCCGGATCACGCTCAGGGTCTCCCATGGGACGAGGCTCCCCGGCCCGAAGCACAATATCGGGGTCCGTCTTTGGTGGACCGGCAGCTCGCTCGCTCATCGAGAATGCTTCCGACAGCCCCGGCGACCCACGTAACCTTATCATGAAAGCCTACGTTCCGCATGTTGCGATTTACGCCTCGCCAGATACCGAGGAGCTCGCGACCGACAAGGGTTTCAAGAACGGATTGTGGGAGCTCCTGCGTCCTTTCGGAGAACAGGTGCAGGGCAAGGTCACTATCAGAGACAGCAACGGTGCGAGTAGATCATGGGAGGACTACTCCGTTCGGTTCACCAAGTTTGGAGACAATATCGAGCACCCTGGTTCGAACGCCTCGCAAGGCACGCAATCTGCGGCGACCAACGGACAAGCCGGATCTGCCTCAAAATCGAAGAGCCACTACGACGACGTTGAAGCGGTGGTGGACAGCCATCTGTCTTACGCTGAAGAGTCATTCCTCAACACCCCGCACCACGGATTGACGAGACAGGGCTTGGATGTGGAGGCTACCTCCCCATACTACTCATTATACCTGCGGAGACTATTATCGGGCATACCTGTGTCACCTCACGAGACTTTTGCGCATCCAGTGGCTTGCGTGATTGCTATCAGCTCGCGGAGTCCATCACCCATAGAAGACTTGCGCAAGTTATACAACGACACAAGCACCGGGGAGAACAGACTGCCGGTGTGGGTAGACGGAGACTATCTTCGATACTACGTTTTGGTACACGATGAAGAGCGCGACGACGTTACCCGGTCACTGGCCTTATTCGACCAGATGAAGCGTCATCTCGGCCTACATTGCCATTTGCTGCGGTTGAGAAGCACGCAGAGTGCAGAGACCGATGACGATAGCATACCTCTGCCGCGGAGCGATTGGATGTCGGCAGCCGAAGAACTGAAGGACATTCGAAACAGCGAGGAACGAGAAGACTTTGAGGACCCGACAAGATACATCTTCGAGTCGGATGCCACGGCGATTCGCACTTTTGTGAGAGAGATGGTTACGCAGTCCATCATCCCTACCATGGAGCGCCATGTGTCGCTGTGGAACGACCAAGTCGCATCTCGTAGGAGAGGAATTACGGGAAGGTTCATGAATCTATCGCGAAAATGGGGCGGCTTTGGCAGCAGCTCGAGGAATTCTGTCGTGGGAGGCAGTGGATCATCAAGCGCTTATGACGCGCTCGGATTCTACCGACCAGACGCTTCAGAGGCCATCATGCGGAAGCTAGCCGACTTTGCCTTTATGCTCAGGGACTGGAAACTAGCGCACTCAACATATGATCTCCTAAGGTCCGATTTTAGCGACGCAAAAGCCTGGAAGTATCACGCAGCAGCCAACGAAATGGCCGCCGCCAGTCTCCTCATCATGCCGCAAAACCTGCCTTCCAAATCCCGCGCCGAGACGATCGATCAGATGTTGGAAGCCGCCTTCTACTCTTACTACACACGTTGCAGCTCTCCATTTGGAGCGTTGAGATCCTTGACGCTTGGAATCGAGCTTCTGCGGCTTAGGGGCGGCAGCAGCGTTGATGACGCCGTGAGATGGGGCATTCGGCTTCTCGATTCTAAGATCCTCGGTCCCGTCGGCGATGCTCTCATGAAGGAGCGGCTCGCCGTCTGCTACGCCTCAAAACCGGGCGTTGGCTCAGGCTCATGGGGCCACAGGAAGAGAAAATCGGCCATGTGGTGTATCCTCGGCGGTGAGGCATGGGACCTGCAACAGAAGTATATCCAGTCCCAGCGGTGTCTCAATGAAGCCTCGCGGATCTACTCGGAGCTTCCGCACGAAAATGGTGTCTCCAAATTCAGTCTTGCCAACGAGTTCGTGGCTGGCCTACAGCATCAGCTCGATGAGAAGCTCGACGTGGACGATGGGAATGGAGGCGACGAGTCCCCATCACAAGATGTGGAGGAGGTTCTCGTTGAGGAGAGTGAGACTATGGATTTCAGATCAAGACGGACGAGTATGATGGGTCGTGGAGGAGCACCTGTCGCAAGCCTTGAGACTGCGCCGTTGCACGAGGTTGCGTCACCCGTCAAAGAGAAGGGGGATGGATCGGTGCAAGACGAGTTTGGCTAACACGACTTGGATCGGTTGGAGTGGCGGAGGTGCAGCGATGGGTGAATGAAGTGATTAGTAGATGCGTTTACGAAGCGGATTAATAGCATTTACAACCACTGTCCCTGTCTCTTCTAAGTATTGTTGTCTTTGCACTGTGATTGTTCATTTCTTTGACCAAGACGAAGTGTATAGTAGAAGACAAAGTAAGGCATGCAGCCAGAAGTTATGCCTGCTCCTTCTTCGTTTGATACCCCAAATGCTCAGTGAATCCCAGGCATCCGTCTTAAAGCCATCGTTCCTCCCGCTTTGCATTACCCCCCTTAGTCATTGTTAGGTCTGATGCTCAAATTTTGTATAAATGTCGTTTGGTGGCATCTGCTACACCAAGGTGCTTCTCAGTACGTACCTGCGCTAGTCCCCTGCTCAAGGTCAGGCACCTGGACACACTTGTCACTGGGGACCCTTGGACCCAGCAATGATCTCACCGGCAACCGATAGGAGAAAGACTGCTGAGCCCACGCCGATAAGGCAGCTTCCCCCACTGTCCCGCCAAACCAACTGTCTCTCTACTACTTCGTTTGGGCTCGCCGGGAAGTTTCTAGGTCTTGCGAGGCACGACAGTTTTATTCTGCACCTATTTCTGATTGCCTTTCCTTTACCCGTTCAAAGTCTACTTTCTCTCCCTCGTCACTGGGACAATTTGAGGAGATCCTCCCTCCAGCCGACCTGAAGTCGAAACGCAGCTACATACTTTCGACAGAACCGGTTGTGAGGTCTCTCGACAGACCCGACGTCACTTGGCCAAGATGGGAGAGCTAGCCGACTTTCTCGTCGAAAGAGACCAAAACTTTCGCAAGTGAGTGCCTCTCTCACTCACTCACTCATATCATCCCCCAAGCTCCGTTTCAGCTGTTTGTTAACGCCCTCACCTGCGCAGAGCCCGTTTGCCAGCCCTCTACTCCGACTTCCGCCCCCAACGAACCCTGAACCCAGACGGCTTCCAAGCCAACGTCAGCGCCTGGCGCCAGGCCCTCGCCCGCGCAGCATGGGAAGGCCGCATCGCCTCGCAGCTCTCGGCGCCGAACCTGCTAGTGGTCAACGTCGACGAGCAGCTCGTGCGGTCCCTGGAGAGCAAGCAATTCGGCCGCCCGCTCGCGCTCGGCACCGTCGTCAGGGAGGCCGTCGCCGACAAGGACCTGTACCCGCTCGACGAGTTCACAAGGGCCAAGGAGAGCATCTACGCGAGCAAGACGTGGGCGCAGGTGCCGTGGAGCGTGGTCTCGTGGGCGGCGGGGCAGTTGTTTGGGGGCGGCAAGTCGACTTCGGGCGAGGATAAGGTCCCGCGGGGGCGGTTTGTGGTGTTGAGGAATGTGGAGGCGACGGCGAAGAGTCTTGCGGAGAGGGTCAGCGCTGCGGATTCGAGGTTCGACAGGACGTATACGAAGACGCATTTTCAAAAGACGTTTGCGGACGCGCTGGTGCAGGATCGGAGGTTATCCGAGACGGATGTGGATATTTTGCTGGTGTTCCTCTCGCGGGACAAGGGGATCGTGGTCTACGACGGCAAGGTGGTCAAAATCAAGGGATCGAGCACAGATGAGGACGAGACGACGATCACGGAGGAAGACGAGGCCGTCTCGTCGCTCAAGGAACTCATCGCCGACATGAAGCAACAGACGGCCCTCCTCACGTCTCGCGTGGACGAGCTCGCGGCGACAGCCAAGGAAGCCGTCGTCAAAAAGAACAAGGTCGCCGCGCTGGCGGCGCTCAAGTCCAAAAAAATGACCGAGGCGTCGCTCGAGAAGCGCTTCGCGACGCTGAACCAGCTCGAGGACGTGGCGGCGAGGATACAGGAGGCGCGGGACAACGTCCAGCTCGTCAGCGTCATGGAGGCGAGCGCGGGCGCGCTCAAGGGGCTCAACGAGAAGGTCGGCGGCGCGGACCGGGTCGGGGACGTAGTGGACCGGCTGCGGGAGCAGATGGGCGAGGTGGACGAGGTGGGCAAGATTATCTCCGAGGCTGGTGCCGCGCCTGTGGTGGACGAGTTTGAGGTGGACGAGGAGCTTGAGGCTATGGAGCGCGAGGAGAGGGAGAAGGTTGAGGCGGCGGAGCGGAAGGAGAGGGAGGCGCGGGAGGAGAGGGAGGCTGAGGAGACGAGGAGGAGGCTTGAGGCCGAGATGGCGGATTTGAAGACGCCTGTTGCGGAGCCCGTTGCGAGGCAGGACGCCAAGTCGCCGACGGGGGAGACGGCGGAGAGTTTGGAGAGGATGGGGCTCGAGGAGAGGGAGAGGGAGCGGGAGAAGCCGATGCCTGCGCAGTGAAAGGGTTGGCTGGCATTGTATTACGTTGGCGTCTCATCACGCATTTGTATTAATGAACCATTGGGGGTTAGATCACGGCGTTTCTTTGCTGGTTTTTTGTATTGAGGCAACGTCTGTATATTTTACAGTCGGCAGGGTATAGTAACGAAGAAAGCGCTATGTCATGCAATCACCACGCAGAATGTCACCGCGCCTCCTGACCGCTCGGTATTTGCGGCTCTGAGAAGCCGTCCTGTAAGTAATATGACGATGCCGGAACCTGAGGTTTGAGCGCCGGATTGTCGACCTGCATCATGGATCCCGTGGGGCCGTCCTCTACGCCGCCTTCTCTGGGTGCGTCTGTTGGTTGCTCTGTCAGATCAATCACCGCCGCGTCACTCCTCTCTGAATCCACCTTGGGAGCACCAGTCTCTGCTGAAGCGGCCCCGCCATCTTCTGACTTTGGAGTCGCCGTCCCTTTCCCCTCCTCCTCGCTCTTGGGTTTCGCTTGGGCTCTGGACTTGCGCGCATTTGCGATTAGATCCTTGAAGGAGGTATCATGCTTTGCCGCCCAGGCGACGCCGTCAAATTCTTTGTCCTTGACCGCGACACCCGGCTTCACAAACATGGCCGCCTTGGAACCCTGCGTGCGCTCCCACACGTCAAGGTCATGCAGCAGCTCCGTTCTCCGCTTCGGTCGCGCCGAATCGCAGTTTGCGTTCCACAGCGTCACCCATTCTTTATGTCTCTTTTCTAGTTGGACGCGGCCGCCTGTGACCGAGAGGCCGAGGTCCGACATCTTTTTGCGGAGGGCGACGTCTTTGAGCATGGAGTAGGCGAGCGCGGGGAGGCGTTCGGGAGGCGGGTGCGATCTGCTGGGGCCGGCGCCGCGGGCGGGGGTGTTTGGTGTCGGGGTACGGCTTGCGCTTGCGCGGGCTTGGGCTGTATGTTGTTGTGGAGGTGGTTTCGAGCCGTCGCAGGTGTCGAGGTGGCGGAAGACTTGGGCTTCCTTCATGCGAGTGCTGCATATGGGGCATGGGACCAGGCCGTCCTCGGGAGCTGAGGAGAATGTGTTAGAAGGGTTGTCGAGTGAAGAGCTTGGTAGAGAAGAGCAATGGCTTACCGAAATCTGCGTCCTCTGACTCGTTGTCCTCCTGTACTTCCTCCATCTCGTCAACCTCATCGACCTCAGGCACGGGCGCGGCGGCAGCCTGTCCAGATCTCGTCCTGCTGAGCCTCGTCGAACTCCTCAGGCGCTTGGTCTCTGGCTGTTGCTCGCCGTTCTCCTCAGCCAGCCTCCTCTTGGCCGCACTGCCGCTTGGTTCTCGCTGGCTGTCCTGGCCCGCCGTCCTCGCAAAGTGTAGCGTATCCTTCCTGGCCTTGACAAACGAGTCGACAACCTCCTCGAGAGACCAATTACTCCTCAGCTTCAACTCCTGGTCCGAGGCCCGACAGAGAGGGCACTTGCCGTCGTTGGACAAGGCGCGACGGATGCAGAGGGAGCAAAAGGTATGGCAGCATGATGTGATCATTGGTGTCTTGAAGAAGTCCTTGCAGACCTGGCATCGTAAGGAGGCTTCGACTGCTGAGAGGGCGGGGAGGGGTGTAGAGAGCCAGTCTGTTGAGTCTGGGACGTCCTCGAAGTTGTCCGCCATTGTGGGCGACTAGACTGGGGGATTCGTGACAGAAGTCAATCTTGGGTAAGTATCTGTATGTTCGGCGGCGATCGGTACTCTCGAGGCACAAGTCGCTTGAAAAAGACTTGGGGTGTCTGAGCTGGCGATTTGAGTAAAGGCCTCGAACAATAGAAACAAGGATGTCCAGATGCAAAGGCTTCGGTGAACTTTTGGAGAGGATAGGAAAGTCGCGTCGAGTGGCGCGCTCATTGGGAAAGTGTCAGGGATTTGAAGACCGGGGGGTGTAGAGTTAGTGAATAACGTCACCAATCGTACTCTCCTGAGTGGCCCCAGCAGGGGGGTGTGCACAGAAAATCAATTAAGAAGAAAGAAGTGGGGTCGCGTCTTTGTCTCTGGCCCGACGCGTCTTCTCAGAGCAAGTACCTTAGCTCCCTCACCACTTTGTACCTTCTTCACAGCGAATCATCGTGACAACTCCCTGCAAAAGCCGTCGCCTTGTTCTTTGACGAGCTTCAATCATTTCACATTGGGTCACTCCGCAGTCTATCGGGAAGAATCAGACAACTTCACCATGGAGGAATACAAAAAGTATCTGGCTGACCAGATCCTGAGTGAGGAGAAAATTGTAAGCTATGGCATTCCCATGATGACCGTCAAAATGGTGCTCACAAATATCCCAGGTTACATATCGAAGCCTCAGCAGGGCACTCAAGGTTCATGTCAACACAGCAAAAGGGTCAGTTCGAAGAGCTTCATTCCACTGACTACTGCAACAACTCCTGACCTTTGATAGAATGCTCTACGACTTCCACCGGTCACAGAATGGGATGCGCCCTGGCACAATCCATGCAACCTACCTGATCTATGGAACCCAACCAGCGCAACAAAAGGTCCAAGATGATGGCGATGTTGAAATGACCAGCTCGCCCCCTGATGTCGAAACCCCTGAAGATGTTGTCACCCACTCCATGTCTCTTGTCCCTGGCGACCTCCTGAAGGGTAATTAGAAGTTTCTTGTTTCCACTGTCTTCTCACATCACTGACCTTTCTTAGACACTCTGGCCACTTACGAAGAGGTTACCTCATTCCATATCTACAGTTTGGCGAGGCATCCTACCAGGGTAAGCCCTCATTCTCCTCCGTCTAGTGATAACTATTGACCAGTGCCCCAGGACTTGCAACTTTTAGCAGACGTTCATCAACAAGTCAAGGAGCAGTCGACGGATGAGAGCGCATCCATGGCAGAGACATACGGTACCATTACCAACCCTAATGCCCGCAAACGCACCCGCCAAGGAAGAGGACCAGTACCTACACCTGCTGCTCCAGCACCGGTGGCCAAGCCTGTCAAGAAGGAAGCGGCACCTCCTGCTGTCAAGCCCGCAGCCCCTGAACCCAAGGCGGAAGCATCTGTCAAGCAAGAGGCCAAGACAGAGGCCAAAGAAACACCCACATCCTCGGCGGCAACGAAGAAGGGCGCGGCGCCACCAGCGTTGAAGAAGAGCGGCTCGTCTGGCATTTCGGGCATGTTTGCCAAAGCCGCAGCCAAGGCTGCAAGCAAGCCGAAAGAGGCCCCGAAACCGGCGCCCGTCGAGACGCCCGCATTATCTGATGATGGCGAGGATGACGATGAAGACATTCCCGCTGCCAAGGCCCCGGCCAATTCTGGAAGAAAGTCACGAAAGGACCGCGAGGCTGAGCTGAAGATGATGATGGAGGAGAGCGAGGAAGAGGAAGAGCCCGAAGAGAAGGAGGAGGACGAACCGATGGATGAGCCAATGGAGGAGGCCCCCGAGCCAGAAGCGAAACCTGAACCAGCGGAAGTCGTCTCTAGCACCGGCGACGGTCGTCGGCGTGGCAAGCGGAGAATCATGAAGAAGAAGCAGATTATGGACGATCAGGGCTACCTTGGTAAGTTTGGCAATACTCCCTTACACTTTCTCAAAAGCTAACAACAGTCTACTAGTCACTATCCAGGAACCTGCTTGGGAAGAGTTCTCAGAAGACGAGGCTCCCCCGCCACCCGCAAAGGTGGCCAAGACTTCATCCGCTCCAAGTTCTGGAAGCCAAGCTGCGAAGCCGAAGAAGCCTGCTCCAAAGGGACAGGGCAACATCATGTCCTTCTTTGCCAAGAAATAATTGCCGGGGAATGATTTGGGGGCTCGTGTCAAGAGGATTGATGGAGACTTGGCATGAAAGAAAAAGGACAGAAACGTTGTCAACAAGAACAGCTCTAGGGTTCCACAGTAAAGCAAGCTGTCACATGCAGATATCCGCGATTTGTCCAACGATTGTGTTACCAATGGATCTCCTGTTGGCTATGAGTGCGATCAATTACTACCTCTAGATGACAGAGGTTGAAATAGTACTGGCATGACTAGGAGAAACAGCGCCGGCCCGGAAGCGGCACGGACGCCGGAGGTCGCCCCGCGTCACCCCGCAGTGGGCCCGAGTCGTCAAGATGCGACGCTAAAATACGCAACCCCGGTCAGAGCTCCTGCAAGGGACCACAGTGACGCTGCGGCATCCCCCAAAAGACGCAGCGGACACCTGGCGGGCAGGGAGCTCGTCGTCCTATTTTCCGCGTCAATTCAACGTACGTCGCACATTGCTTCGTAACACGATCGCTTTTTTGTTTCTGTTGCTGGACCCTACCACGCTCTCTTGATATCGCAAAGAGTTTCCTCGGCGATTGATACCCATGCGGACATAGACTGAAATTTGGTTCTCTTTTCCCTCCCGTGCCTTTTCCTGCCAGGCCATATTGCTCTCGCAGTCATGTCTTTACGCACAGTATTTGACCTGCTGCTCCCCCTGGGTCTGCTGGTCGGCCAGACCTACGCGGCGCAAGAACCTCTGACGGGCGAGGATCGCGAAGCATGTCCAAACTATGCGCAGTATTCTACATACCCCCAGTGAGTTTGCTACTCTGGCCTTGGCCTTTCCTCTTGAGACCACGAACCAATGCTGAGAATGTGTGTGTGTCGCCAGTAAACCCCTGAGCGAAGGCCCCCTTGGCCTGCCCTACCAACGACCCGATCCACGATGCCGTACTTTCCACTCCGATGCCATCGAGCAGGTCATCAAGGACGTCACATCCAGAATGAAGGACCCCGACCTGGCCAGACTATTCGAGAACGCGTTCCCTTCCACGACAGACACCACCGTCAAGTTCCACACCGACGGGACTGATACCAGATTCGTCGATCTCAAGGGCCGCAGCCTGCGCGACGAGGGCAAATGGGAGGGACCGCAGTCCTTCATCATCACGGGCGACATCATTGCCGAGTGGCTGCGCGACAGCACGAACCAGCTCTCACCCTACCAGGCGCTGGCCAAGAAGGATCCCGCCATCTTCAAGCTGATCCTGGGCGCCATCAACACGCAGGCCGAGTACGTCATCGAGTCGCCGTACTGCAACGCCTTCCAGCCCCCGCCAATCGCGAACCTGCAGCCGAGCCACAACGGACAGGACGACACCGTGCACCCCATCTACGAACCCTCGTTCGTGTTCGAGTGCAAGTACGAGCTGGATTCGCTGGCGCATTTCCTCGCGCTCGGCAACGACTTTTACGAGCACACCGAGTCCAAGGATTTCATGACGGGGCGCTGGTTCATGGCTCTCGAGACGGTGCTCAACGTCCTCGAGGAGCAGTCCCGCTCGACGTTCGACCCGGAGACGGGCCGCTTCCAGAAGAACGAGTACACCTTCCAGCGCAAGACGGACGCGGGCACCGAGACGCTGAACCTCAAGGGCGTGGGTAACCCGCTGAACAACGGCACGGGTCTCGTGAGGTCGGCTTTCCGGCCCAGCGACGACGCTACGATTCTCGGCTTTTTTATCCCGGCGAACGCCATGATGGCCGTGGAGCTGAAGCGCACGTCCATATTCCTCAAGGCGGCCGGCAAGGACGTCCTCGCGCAGACGGTGGATAAGTGGAGCCAGACGATTGCTGACGGCGTGTGGAATAATGGTGTGGTCAAGCATGCCAAGTACGGAGACGTCTTTGCATACGAGGTTGATGGATACGGGTCCTCCATTCTCATGGATGATGCGAATTACCCGTCGCTACTGGCGCTTCCTCTCATGGGATTCTTGCCTGCGGATGATCAGACGTACAAGAACACCAGGAAGATGCTCTTGGAGAAGACTGGCAACCCTTACTATCTCGAGGGTGCTGCGTTCCACGGAATCGGAGGTGAGTTTTTTCTTGATACATCGGAGTCGTGCTGAAGCTTACAATATGCTAGGACCCCATATTGGGCTCTCCAACGCCTGGCCAATGAGTCTTTTGATCCAGGCGCAGACATCCGAAAATGACCAGGAAATCACCGAGTGTCTTGACTTTGTCCTGAACTCTGCCAAGCTCGGTTTGGTTCACGAGAGTGTTGACGTCGGCCGCATTTCTGCTTATACCCGTAAGTTCTATCCAGCCCGCTTTACCAATTATCATGCTAATCACACAATACAGGAAGCTGGTTCGCATGTAAGATACTAGAATACCGAATTTTGACGACATCGTGAGCTGTGATGCTGACTTTTGATAGGGGCCAACGGCGTCTTTGCCGAGACGATTCTCGACCTGGCTAAGAGGAAGCCTCACTTGATCTTTACTGACGCAAAGCCGTATACCATCTGAGCATGGCATTTACTTTTGGGCATCGCGAGTCGGGTAAATAGGCGCGACGGTTAATCAGTTGGTCGTGACATGACATGACGTGGGAGGTGGTGACTGGCATCTATGCTGCATCAATAGAGTTATATCCCATTTCTTAAAAGTTGCCAGATGATTGAAGACCAATAAGTAAAGCTGCAATAAAAAAGAAATACAGACTTAGGCTCAGATGTCTTTGCCCCAGCGAAGTGGGGAGTGACTTGGAACATGGCACATGAATTATAAACTACTCAATCTTCCCGGTCGCTTTTCCTTCATCTCATTATCATCCTAGATAACCTGTAAACATCAAGGAGATTCGTCTCGTGACGAACGGGAATAACATCTACCTTACTTTACATA